CCCCCAACCATAAAGGGCAATGGGTAGCTGTTGATAGCTATGGAGATAGGGCAGGGCAAATAAAGAAGACCACGCTTGCTGGGCACTGGTGGCCACACCTGTAAGTCTAGTTACTTGGAAGGCTGAGATCAGGAGGACAACAGTTTAAGGCCAGCCTGGGCAAATAGTTCATGAGACCACCATCTCCAAAATAACTGGAAGTTATCTTGCAAAATGCCTTGGAGGTATGTCTGAAGTGGTAGAGCACCTAGCAAGTGTGAGGCCCTGAGTTCAAACCCCATTACCACCAAAAAAAAAAAAAGAGCAAGCTTATCCTGAGGGCAGGCAACCATTCCCCCCACAGGACATATACTATTTATATCTATCCTCAGCAAGGAAACATACTAGGGGTGAATGTGCTTCTGGGGAAAACCCTGCACACCACAACTGGAGAATTTCACCCGAGGGTGCACATGGTAAAGACAGTAACTCATGGCTAGGCAGATCGAGAGCCAGGGTATTAACTACATGGTAGTTAATACCAAGCAGTGTAGACTGCCAGAAGGTGTGAAGAAATCACGACCATTAAGAAATTGAAAAATGGCCAAGATGTCCCACTACTGACGAATGGATTAAGAAAATGTGGTATTTATACACAATGGAATTTAATGCAGCCATGAAGAAGAACAAAATGTTATCATTCACTGGTAAATGGATGGAATTGGAGAACATCATTCTGAGTGCGATCAGCCTGGCCCAAAAGACCCAAAATCTTATGTTCTCCCTCATATGCAGACATTAGATCAAGGGCAAACAGAACAAGGGGATTGAACTTTGATCACAAGATAAAAGTGAGAGCCCACAAGAGAGATATGACAATAGGTAAGACACCTAAAAAATTAGTTAGCATTTGTTGCCCTCAATGCAGAGAAACTAAAGCAGATACTTTAAAGCAACTGAGGCCAATAGGAGAAGGGGACCAGGAACTAGAGAAAAGGTTAGATCAAAAAGAATTAGCCTAGAAGGTAACACCCACGCACAGGAAATCAATGTGAGTCAACTCCCTGTATAGCTATCCTTATCTCAACCAGCAAAAACCCTTGTTCCTTCCTATTATTGCTTATACTCTCTCTTCAACAAAATTAGAGATAAGGGCAAAATAGTTTCTGCCTGGTAGTGAGGGGATGGGGAGGAGAGGGGGGTGGGGGGCGGGTAAGGGAGGGGGTGGGGGAAGGGGGGAGAAATGACCCAAACATTGTATGCACATATGAATAAAATAAAAAAAAAAAAAAATTGAAAAATGTAAAAATCAAAAGTCCATTTAACAGTCTGGCGTGGCCAGTAGAGAAGCTGGACGGCTCCTGGAGAATAACCAGGATTATAGAGAGCTAAAGTAGTATACCCTATCCATGCCACTGTACCTGACACCACTCTCCTGACTGAACAACTAACACAAACAAGTGATGGACCTTATCATGCGGTGTAGATCATGCTGGTGCTCTCTTTACTATTCCTTTAGCTACTGAGTCCCACCACCAGTTTACACTCACCTGGAAGGAGCAGGAATGGATCTCCAGAGTACTCCCCCAAAGTAACCTGCACAGTCCCCCCATTGGCTAGGGGAGTGTGGCCTGGAACCTTGGCTTGTTATCTGCCTGCCCACTATGAAAATGTTTCATGCTAACCTCTGATTACCTTACAGATTTAGAGAAACAGCTGGAGGATATACAAAGTATACCTAAAGGAGTAGGATGGGATCAACCTCTACAAGGTGCAGAGGCCAGCACAGTCATAAAATTATGGGGAGTTTTGTAGCTGGGTAAGACCTAAAACAGTCACTGAGAAAATTTTCCAGCAGTCTACACCAATAAATGTGGAGCAACTACAGGTATTCCCAGGATTCCTGGGATACTGGTACATTTTTATACCCCACCTCGCTCAAGTTGTCTATCCTTTATATAACCTGATAAAAAGGGAGATTATAAGAGAGAGATAGAGAGAGACAGAGAAAGAGAGAATGAGAGAGAGGGAAAGGCTATATGGGATTGGGACAAAAGGGCTCAAGAGGCTTTTGAGCAAGCTGAGATTCTTGTGCAGCCAGCTAAGCAATTGTATGCAAGTGCCCCAACACCCATTTGTTTTAGAAGTTACTAGGAGCCCTGAGGTCTATAGCCGGGGGCTATGGTGGAAACAACCTGAAGGAACATTCCCAACAAACTTGGGAAGGGGCAGAAGGGGGCAGAAGCCTGATATACAGTACTGAGCAGCAACTCTATCTAAAGCCAAGCAGCTGGTGGAGTCCATCTATTTCAGTGATGGGAAACAAAATATATCCAATAAAAGGATGGGTTAAAAGCCTATTGGCCTTTTTGGGGTGATACAAAAATCAGACTTTACAGAAGTAGCTCACATATTAAAACAACTGAAGAGTTTAAATGGTCAGGAGTAGTGGTACACACCTATAATCCCATTTCCTGGAAGACCCAGGCAGGAGGATCATTAGCTAGAAGCCAGCCTAGAATATATAATAGAAAGACTCGATCTCAAAATAAAAAAAATAAAGAAAGAATTTAAATAAAGACACCATGAGTGGGTAGAAAAGAATGCTTCTAGAAGTCCTAAGATTGTTAAATGAAAACCCCTGTGCAAGGGGTGGGCATTTTCCTATGAGTTTTTGGCCAGTGAAGCTCCACACCTTCAACACCATACATACTACTGCTGTTGCTGTTGGTTGTATGCCAGAACTAGACTGTACATCCTGATTGCTGAAGACAATACACACTGGACAGACGGCCCAGAGAAATCAAGCTGGGACTGAACTGAAAGCTTCCTCTTTACAGGGTAGCATTCATGGTGCAAAGGGCACTATGCTAGCTGTAGGGAGGGTGGGGGTGGGGGTATGTCACCAACTGTTCTTGCTCTGCTTCCCCCACCCCATGTGTTACACCATCAGCGTGCCCTGTAGGATGTCCCCATCAGTGCAGTAGTGGCCAGACTAGGATGGATACAACCAACCACATACAAACTGGATCTTAGGCCTGCTCTACAGGAGGGAACCCATGTTTGATGCTATAAACTGGGACAGAAACCTGAGGCTGGGAAAGTCATAGGCCCCAGCAAGGAAGTCACTACCTTTGTTTTTTTTAAGTGGATGTGATGTGCCAGTGGAACTGCCTTCAACACTTATGTCCATGTGCATACATTACTGCTGCTGCCAGCCACCACTGAGGGGAACTTCTTGCAGTGGGCAGTGACCACAGCAACACCCACAACAAATCTAACTTCCCTACCCAACCAAAAACAAGTGTGCCCTAGAATGTGCTGCCTTTTCTCTCCCAAAATTGGAGCAACATTCTGGGGACCTGGCACCAAGGTGGGGCTTTTCTGTAAGCACACACTCTTGTAGTGTCAGTCGTGGGCTAACACTGGCAGTAGTGACAGAACACATAAATAAATCCTGAGCCATATACATCACAGTATGGTGAGGAGTAACCTGGATGACAGCTGACAATGGACATCTGCATGCCCTCTTTGTCTTCAGAGATAAAATAAAACTGACAGCCCCCTTCATCAATACCAGCAGCAAAGAGCCCAGGAGCTGTATAAATGCCATACGTTTGGGAAATAGAATAAACTAGGAAACAAAAAACCCCTACAAACATGGAGCATACTACCCACAGGAAGTACAGGTTATTATGTAGAAATCAGTTGTGGTCATATTTATGATACAACTGGACCAGCTGATGCACACTCAAGGTGGTCATTCTTGCTGGTGATACCTATGATACCTTGCCTACCTGGCCTAAAAACCTGCATTCTCTAGAGACTGACATGGTGGGAATACCTCTTCACCCTGCTGGAAAATGAGGTCGGGGTGCTGGACCCGTTGTTCAGATAAAGGCTCTTGCCAACTTTACTGCCAAAGCTTTAAACCATACACATAAAAAGCATATTCTTGCTAAATCAGGAGACAGCCCAAATGAAAAAAGTAGTACTGCAAATCAAAATAGCCTTAGACAGAGGCTCCTGTGCTTCATGGCACCACGTGCTGTACTTATGGTCTGGATAATGAGGTCAGCGTTGCAGATGCTTTAAACCAGTTTTAGGGAAACATTCATGACAATCATTTCGACAGCCATGAGGCTTTTGTACATTGACTGGGCTCTCCACCTAGAAATTGGGGTCATGTGCTCAACTGGGGATTGTGTCACTCCAGGAGGAAGTATCTGTTGCTGTGGTCTGTACTGTAGCTGTGGAAAAATGGCTCAGTGCTCTACTCTCATCAGAAGACAGTCACATAATATCCTCACCAAGACTCAGAGAACATTGTTGAGGAGAAGGAAAGAATGAACAAGCCAGAGGGAAGGGTGCAATGTAGTGTAACTAGTCCTCTGACTCCTGGCCTGAGTAATTCCATCTTGCAACAAACACCACTTAGCTCTTCTACATGCCAGACTGTAGCAAAACAAAGCCTTGTTCCCATGGTCAGACAGTGGGACAGTGTTTGCTAGAACCAGCAGAATCCCTAGTAAGAGCAAGGTCGAGCACACATAAACATACAACTTCCCTGAGTCTGGTTTTATCTATAACTTAATGTTATTTGAGCCTGCAGTTACCTCTGCTGTTTTAATACTAGGTGGAGCTCTATAATTCAATTTTGTATCAATTCTGCTGTAGACTTAGAGCCATATAAAACAGAAGCTTAGTAGGCTAGGTGTTGATTTCAGTGACACGGGAGACTTTGGACAAATGCAGCCCCCCTTAGTCATCCATGACTCTGAAAGTTACCCCTATTAAACTCATTTTACTCACCAAACTAGGTTTGGTAAGTCACTTTTGGGGATGTCACTGCCATCCCAGTTTAGAAGCACACCATTCTTTTATACCTCCCTAAGAAAGTCATATGAAAGGTTTCGCAGAAGTCAAAAAAAAGAGGGAGGGAGAGGTCCTAAGTGCTATTGTCTCTAGTGCTATGGAGAGATTGAATAAGGAAGACATCAATGAAATAAACTATTTAATACCTGCAAAATTGCCAGGCCAGGTGTGAAGCCAGGTACTTTTTCCTTCATCTGAGTGACTTGGTTCTTCAGTCTCTCCCTTATTTGCCTAGCAGAAAAGAAAATGTTAAGAGTTAACACTTCATGTTTCAAACATAAATAAGTGATACAGATTAAGTGTATTTCTCTTTGGAATTAAAGACACCTTCACTGAATGAATATTATCTGGTATAGTATGCATCGTGGCCTGGCCTGGTGGTTCACTCCTGTAATCTTAGCTACTCAGGAAGCAGAGATCTGGAGTGATTCAAGTCCAGCTTGACCAAAAAGTTCACAAAACCTCATTTCAATGGGGTTTAATCTGAGCACAGTGGTGTTTGGTGGTGCATGCCTTTCACACCAAGCTATGTGGCGAAGCACAAATAGGAAGACTGGAATCCAGGCATAAAGACCTAATCTTTTCTTTTTTTTTTTTTTTGCAGTACTGGGACTTGAACTCAGGGCCTACCAACTTTCTGAGGCCACTCCACCAGCCCCAACCCCGCCCTTTTACTGTGTTGGGTGTTTTCAACTATTTGCCCAGGCTGGCTTCAAACCACTACCCTTCTGATCTCTGCCTCCTGACTTACTAGGATTACAGGCGGGAGCCACTGACGCCTGACTGCAACCCTATCTAAAAATAACCAACATATAAAGGGCTGGCAGTACGACTCTAGTAGTACAGTGACTACTTAGCAAGCATAAGGCTCTGAGTTCAAACCCCAGGACTGCCAAAAATGTGTGTGGGGGGGGTGTACCATCCATCAATTTTCCAAGTCTCAAGTTGACACGGCTCCTTCCTAATTCCTATTGGTACCAACTGGGCTATGAGATAGATATGAGGAGAGTCTATTTACTTATTTCACTTTGTTTATTTATGCATGCACAGAGGGTATTGAATTCAGGGCTCTACCACTGAGCTATATTCCAAGCCCTCAGAGTCACTTTACAATGTTATTAGTTGAGCTGGGTGGGCAGCTCAGTGGTAGAGCATTTGCCCAGCATGTGGAAGGACCTGAGTTCAATGTCCAACATCATCACCCCCCGCCAAAAAAAAAGAATCCAAGGTGTATTAGCTGATGGCACTCAAAATCATACAGCGAATAAATGTAGATGAAGGGTGCTGGTTGTCTTCTTTTTCAGCATTTCCACTCTCCAGGTGCTGTCCTGAAAAACTTCTGCAGGGAAGAACTCAAGCTTATTCCTTTTGCTCACTCTATCCTAGTAATCTGACCGCGGGATAGCCACATAATGCTGAAAGATAAATCAGTGAATTCCACTCTAAATTCAACACAAACTTATACACTATATTCTAATTCATGAAAGACTTTTTCTTGTAAAAGAATTTAACATAAATTATCATCTCTTATAAAACTAAGATAATTTATCAATATACAACTTTTTTTCTTTTCCTTGTTAACATACAACTTCTCAACAATATATAGGACATCAAGTAAATTATATTATAAATATTCAAAATAGCCAACCATACCCAGTTATGATAGGATTTAAACATGACTGAATCTCTTGGTGAGCCAGTTTCATCATTTCCCTTTCTTCACCTTACCCACCTTAGCCACACAAACACTGGAGCAGCACTCTAACACTTGAGCTACACCTCCAGTCCATTTACTCTGGTTAGTTTTGGAGATGGGGTCTATTTGCCTAGGCTAGCCTTGAACCACCATCCTCCTATTCTCAGCCTCCCAAGTAGCTAGGATTATAGGTGCTGGACTCTCCCTTCATTCTAATTGAGTTACTCCCTCCTAGCTCCCAGCTTTTTACAAAAGCTGACACAAACAGGCATCAAAGTTATGTAGCTTATTTGGACCGGCCTAGTAAACATCAAGAATATGAAAGGGTGAGGCACAGGTAACTCCCACCTGTAACCATAGCTACTCAGGAGGCAGAGAGCAGGAGGCAGAGAGCAGGAGGACAGCGTTCAAACCTCAGTACCACCCCTGCACCCCCTCCACACACAAAGCCACTGGAATTTTTTTGTCCAGTACTAGGATTTGGATCTCAGGGCCTTGGCACTGCTTAGGCAGGTAAGGTGCTTTTCCACTACTTGGAGCCATAACCTCGCTAGGCGCTGGATTTTTTTTAAACCTTGAATTTATTTTTTTTTTCATTTTTTCTTTATATTTCATATGTGCATACAAAGGCTTGGTGGTCATTTCTTCCCCCTGCCCCCACCCCCCTCCCTTACCCACCCACTTCCACCCCCCCCCGGCTCCCCTCCTCAATACCCAGCAGAAACTTATTTTGCCCTTATCTCTAATTCTTGTTTGTAGGAGAGCAGTATAGCAATAAGAGGATAGGGATACAAAGGGGTTTTGCTGGTACAGATAAGGATAGCGATACAGGGGATGATCACATTTGATTTCCTGTGCGTGGGTGTTACTTCTAGGTTTAATTCTTTTGATCTAACCTTTTCTCTTAGTTCCTGGTCCCCCTTTTCCTTATTTGGCCTCAGTTTGCTTCGTAAGGTATCTGCTTTAGTTTCTTCTGATTAAGGGCAACAAATGCTAGCTAGTTAAAACTGAGATTTGACCTGAATTAGAGAACCACAAGTTCTCTGTTCCAGGAAATTACTAGGACTTTTCTTACTTTCAGCAGTTCCAGCCTTTTGCTGTACCCCCGAATGTCAACCAGGAACATAGTGCTTGGCAGCTGCAGAAGGTCCCTGGGAGAGCCAAGTTCCCGGCTTCCCTCATACAGAACATTTAGGATAGAAAATGCAAACAACAGGTCAAGAAGAAGAAAAGTGTCTGTTATCAGTGCTCTACCAACACATACACACACAACAACACACACACAAAAAGGTGGCAAAGATTTCTGCTGTTCTCTTTAACCTCACCCCACCCAAATAAGACTCACACCAGTAATATTACTAGCACAGCATGAAGGAGCTCAAAGAGACCAGAATGATAACAGGAAACAATAGTGAAAAATGAGACAACACCTGAGACTCAGTCACCTTGTGAGGTAGGCAAGGTAGGAGGGATTCACAGATGTAGCAGCAGGCACACAGCAATTCAAGTAACTTTCCCAGGTCCAACTGTAGAAGAGCAACCATGCAAAGGGACCTGAGTAGGCAAATGAGGTCCACCTGGAAACGGAAAGCAGTAACTAGATAAGGTACATAGCCTCTTTTCTGAAAGTGATCAGAGGATTTGAATGGGGCTGAGATGGTCAGACTTATTTTATGTGTATGGTACTGGGTTTGAACTCAGGGCCTCCTGCTTGCCAGGCAGGCATTTTACCACTTGAGCCACTCTGCCAGCCTGTTTTATGTTTTCTTTTTTTCAGTGTGTGAATTTTATTATTTTTTTGGCTTATTTATTCATTTACTCATATGTGCACACATTGTATTTTATGTTATTTTTGAAACAGGCTCTTGCTTTATGCCAGGGCTGGCCTATGAATGATCCTCCAGATTTCAGCCTCCCAGGTAGCTAGGATTACAGGCGTGAACCACTGTACCCAGCCACACTTACGTTTTTAAACGTTTATTCTGGTTGCTGAATTGGAGAGTGATGGCAGAGGGAATGGTGAAAATCAGAGATGCAATTGCAAAAGTCCAGCCCAGAGACAACTGTGCTTAGATTCCAGTGTTGATGCTAAATTAGTAAAAGCAATATAAGGCCAAAATAGGCCATCAGAGAAATACCCGTGGTCGCTACATAGAACTACACATACCAGACTCACCATACACAATGCATGCTATAATCCCAGCTACTCGGGAGACAGAGCTCAGAAGCTCAGAAAGATCATGTTTCAAGGTCAGCCCACGGAAAATAACTAAAACCAAAAACAGCTGGGGGTGTGGCTCAAAGGTAGAGTCACAAGGCCCTGAGTTCAAACCATCAAAAAAAAAAAAAAAAAAAAGCAAGAACAAATACCAGTAGTGTTTTAACTAAGTTGCCACTGGTATCCAGTGGGTAGAAATTAGGGATTCAACTAAATGCCCTACAATGCATAGGACAGTGCCCCAAGCCCAAAAAATTATTTAGTCAAATAATGCCCAGTGTTGCCAGACACGTGTAATCCTAGCTGCTCAGGAGACAGAGAATGGGCTCAAGGCTAGCCTATCTCAAAAATACCCAACACACAAAAAAGGAGCTGGTGGAGTGGCTCAAATGGTAGTGTGCCTGCCTAGAAAACGTGAGGCCATGAGTTCAAACCCCAGTACCATAAAGAGAAAAAGTGTAACAATAATGGCTAATGTTGAGAAACCCTGCAATACAATGTCATGTTTCAATTATCCTTCTTTTCGTAGGGGCAGAAATCAAGGCGGAAATCATTCATCTCTGTCAAAATTTATTTGAATTTCTACAGACAAGTCATTTACACTGCTGTGTATCAGTATTCTACAAGTTAATGTCCCCCACGTACAGTTATAAAATAGTCCATAAAAGCCAAGGGTGTGCATCCACACAGAACCATATTATCCCTCAGTCATCCAGTATAGCTTTACTCAAAATCTTTTATGACTACTACTATTATTTTTTATGGCACTGGGATTTGAACTCAGGGCCTTGAGTTTGCAGGCAGGTGCTCTATCATTTAAGCCATGCCCCAGCCCCTTTTCACTTTAGTTATTTTTCAAATAGGGTATCCCATTTTTCCCTGGGCAGGAACTGCAATCCTCCTATTTACAACTTCTGTGTAACTAAGATGATAGACCTATGCCACTGCACCAAGCTTTTATTGGTTGAGATAAGGTCTCATGAACTTTTTGCCTGGGCAGATCTTGAACCATGTACCCCTGATCTCCACCTCCCAGGTAGCTAGGATTACAGCCCAGCTCTTACACAATTTTCTTGACAAGATCAGGCATGAATTCCAATCCTATCTGTTTAACATGATAGCTTAAGTTCAAATTTTTGACATTTCAACATTTTGTCACAGAGGAAAAAAACATTGCTAAAATATACCCTAATGAGGATATTTAAACAGAGCTATGTGGAAGGCAAAGTAGGCAGAAGGAGGTTTTTAGCTACAGAGCTATGAAAAGTACAGAGTGAAAACAAAGCTGACCTTTGACAACAAAAATGCTGAAATGTA